CCCCCTCCGCCCGCCGTGGCCGCCCACCAGCCGTTATTTATCAGCCTCCGCTGTGGTAAACAGGGCGGGGGGCGCGCTCCTAGTCGCCGTTCGCCGCCCGCCGCCGGCCCTGGCCCTTCCCTTCTCCGCGGCGCGGCCCCGCCGGGAGCTGCCGGGCCGGCTCTGGCGGGTGCGGGCCCCTCGCTGACCGGCTCCCCTCTGCGCTCTCCCGGCAGGACCTGTCTGTTCCCCCTCGGGCTACAAGAAGGCGGATGATGAGATGTCCGGAGCCACGTCCTCGGCGGATCTGGACGAGGCACCAGCCCGCACCATTTACTTGAACCAGCCCCAGCAGAGCAAGTTCCGCGACAACTGGGTCAGGTACGGAGCGATCCCCGCTTCTCCCCTTCCAGGCGGCAGCCGAGGGGGGGGGCTCCGGTCCGTGCCCCTGCCCAGACCTGCTTTCACCACAGTAAGTCGAGTCTCTGCCGAGGCAGCCGCTTGTTTTGGCTGCGGTGGGCACCGGGGTCTGGGTAGCGGGGCAGGGGAGACTCGGGGAGGAGGGAGGGATCGGGCAGCAGCAAGGGGAAAACTTCGGGTTTTAAGGGTAGCGAGAGCAGGGGGCTCGTGGAGCTGCACGGGTAAGATGCATCAAAAAGCCTTCGCTTCAGTAGGGCTGCTGAGCTTTGGGATAACAGGACCTCACCTAGCACTCCTGGATGCAAGGGCTAACCCATGAAAATTTAGTGCGAGATTTGGATAGAATCCACTATGTAAACTCCATGGAGCGTTCTCTTAAAAAGTAGCATCCAGCTGTAAGAATAACTAGACTAAGTATAATAGAAGTACAGAATAGGAAGGACGAAAAGAAAGTCTAACAGGACCAGGATACTACAGAATTTACAAACTCACATCCCCGTGTATACAAGGCTACGGTCCACTTGTGGTTTTTAATTGAAGACCAGAGGGAATTTTCTTTGGCATTTGGAGCCTTTCATTGGAAGGGGGTGTGTTTTGAGACTTCTACTGGTATGATTAATGCCGTGCTGTTGCAGTTTGGAAACACAAATAACGTGCACTGAAACACGGAGTATGAGGATGAATAACATAAGCAAGTTGTGGCAGTGCTTGCCATGCTTGCCTGGGGTTAGCTAGGTGAACAGATGGCTCTTGTCATGACTAAGGAGGAGTGTTATTTAGCAGGCTTCTGTTTGTTAATGCAAATGTTTGGGTGGTTGTTCAAAGAATGGTTTACACGATGAGTGCCTTTATGAAAATAGAGGAATTTTTATATTTGCCTGAGATAATGATTTCCATTAGCTGGTTTATTGTGTGTATTATCAAGGGCAATTCTAAGACTATCCTCTGGAAGCATGCTGGTGTTCCAGGTAGCACAGCAACTTATTCATACAGGATTTTCTCCTCAACTTTGACTTATATACTTGTCTAGGAAATTGTATGGTTTAGGAGCAGTTAAAATGACAGATTTGCTTAGTGTCTTGCTTTTTTTATGTGGGCAGAAACACTGGATGTTTTCTCACTTTATTTTTATTTTTTATGACTAATTATGAGCTGAGTTTGACCGTTTTCTATGGATAGAGTACTTGTACTTTTCCTGCTGTACAGAAGGAAAAGCAGGGAATAGAGGGTTGGCAGAAGTGGTAGTTTAGGTTTTCCAGAAGGGATTCTGTTCTCATGTGGCTTAATCTTGTAGAAAAGTAGCGTGTGGCTCTGCTACCAAGAACTTGTTCCTGATAGTGCTATTACCAACACCTGAGAGATGTTGTGTCCAACTCACTGTCTAGAAGCCATGCCCTGGTAGCTGTGAAAGTTTTTTTTTCAATAGGTTTTTGCAGCTTTGCCTCCTGACAAGGGCAACTTGAGTCATGAGGAATAGGACAAAATGCAGGTAGTGTTGTGGGAAAGTAGAGATGTTTGCATTGCCTGATTAGGGATCTTAGCTCCGTAGTGTCACTTGGAAATTAAGTTTACTTTATAATAACTTGCTGCTGCTCAATAAGAAAGCTTTGATCTCTCTGACTCTTAAAAGGGTGACAGGCTTTGGCTGTGCTCTCTCCAGTCTCTGGATTAGCTTTCTTCCCTGAGCCCAGTGGAAATGAAGGTAAAGGTGACTCAAGCTCATAACATGAGTAAGGGTGCCTTGTGTGGAGTACGAGTGGTGGTTTATTTACTTGCTTATGTGTATTGGAGTTTGTCTTGAGGAACTGCAGTTTTGTATTGCCCTTGGACTTTCTTACTTATTGTGTTCAGCTTCTGGATTTCTCAGTGCCATTGGATTTGAAGATGTATTGTCTCCATACAAAACATCAGTGTACCACAGCACAGGGTACTGTGTAAGAGGATAAACATCTGTACATAAGGGCTTATGGAAAATTAAACTGAAGGAGATAATAGAACAGGTTGTTGTAAATCATGTGATCTCTGTCACCTTTTTGGTAGTCATCAAGGATTCTCTGAACAATGGTGGGAATTTGGGAATGTTCATAGGAAGTTTTCCAAATGAAGGGGTAGTGTGGAATACCTTGCTCAAAACTAAGCAAAATACAGCAAGAAATGGAGGTGCAGGTGGGGGAAGGAGGGTCAGTGGTATGGCTTTTCATTTAGGATGTTCTAAGCATCTTGAGCTTTTTAACTTTTTGGGGGAGAGAGGCACTGTTAAAAGTGAGTTCTTATGTTTGTTTGTGGGAGCAAAAGGAAGAAGTGGTAAGTACTGGTGTTTTTTAGTTTTGGCCAAGTTAAGCAAAATTGATTATTCCCTAATACCACATCTAAATAGTTTTGTCGTGGTTTAACCCCAGCCAGCAACTAAGCACCATGCAGCTGCTCACTCACTTCCCCCCCACCCAGTGGGATGGGGGAGACAATTGGAAGGAAGAAGATAAAACTCATGGGTTGAGATAAGAACAGTTTAATGGAACAGAAAGGAAGAAGTTAATACAGACAGTAATAACAATAATAAAATGACAAGAATAATAATAAATTGGAATATACAAAACAAGTGATGCACAATGTAATTGCTTACCACCTGATGACTGATGCCCAGTTAGTTCCCGAGCAGTGATCCACCCCCCAGGCCAACTCCCCCCAGTTTATATACTGGGCATGATGTCACCTAGTGTGGAATATCCCTTTGGTCAGTTCGGGTTGGCTGTCCTGGCTGTGTCCCCTCCCAACTTCTTGTGCCCCTCCAGCTTTCTTGCCGCTGGGCATGAGAAGCTGAAAATCCTTGACTTACTATAAATGCTTAATTAGCAACTGAAAGCATCAGTGTGTTATCAACATTCTTCTCATACTGAGCCCGAAACATAGAATCATAGAACCGTTTAGGTTGGAAAAGACCTTTGAGATTGAGTCCAACCATCAACCCAACACCACCATGCCCACTAAACCATGTCTTGAATTGCCACACCTATGTGTTTTTGAACATCTCCAGGGATGGTGACTCCACCACTTCCCTGGGCAGCCTGTTCCAATGCCTGACAACACTTTCAGTAAAGAATTTTTTTCTAATACCCAATCTAAACTTTCCCTGGCACAACGTGAAGCCATTTCCTCTTGTCCTATCATAGTACTCTACTAGTAACTAGGCAGAAAATTAACTTTATCCCAGCCGAAACCAGGACAGTATATAGTGCTATTGCAAAAGCTAAGTGGATGGCAAGATGACACTAATGCTTCCAAAACTCTTAAAGTGTGAGGATGCAGAAGGAAGAATTGTTTTCTTTCCCCAGGCTTTCTGGAGTAAGTGAGACTGAGAACTTGGTAGAGCGATGGCTAAGGTGTTGGTTTTTTGTTGTTTTTTTTTTTCCTCTTCAAACTTTGTTGCAAACTATTTTAAAACCTAGTGCTGTAAAACTTTGTTGTAGGCTGGATTTAGCTTTGTCCTTTACATGTGCATATATATGGCTGTCACTATTCTTTATTACACTGCAGCAGCAGTGATTTGTTCTGTAGGAACGTCTCTCTTTTATCTGTATTAGAAGCTGTTTTCATCCCTGCTATGTTGTTTGAAAAACTTTGTGCATGTGTTACTCCTTGGACCTTTTAATAAAAGGCAAATGATGTTCCATTTCCAGCTGAAGCATTTTAGAAGCTTTGAGATATGTAGAAATGGAACAAATACAATTACTTTGTCCAACACAGCTCTAGTTGTGGTATTATGTTTGCTTTTATGAAAGCTAACTAGTACTTATTTTGACTTGTTCAATATACTTAACTTAAATATGTGTCTAATAGGGGCATTTCTGTACTTAAATGTTACATTTCTTACTGAACTTAATGTCCTGAAAACTTCCAGCCACTCTGTACACAGCTCTATGCCACTTAAAGTCAATAGTTATAATCTACTCTTGGGCATTCTACATCTGGGGATTGAAGTCTACTAACAGTCCTCAGGTTTAAGACATCCCTGGCTACAGACAGTATGAGATGGTAGTCAAGCTTCTACAGAGACCCCAGCCAGTGTATATATAGATATTGTTATTTTGTCTTTTTTAGCCCTTCCTTCCAAGGTGCTGTGAGAAAAGGCTTTCTTTGCATTTCTTTAAAATACTGGCTTTTACTTGTAATTCAGGTGTGAAACACAAAATGTTATGGATCATTAATGTTTTCAGCCTCTAACTCTTCTACTGGTGACTTGATTCAATGTGAGCAATTACGGTAGTTTGTACACTCGTTATGTAGTGGATCAGCACAGCGTGAAAATAACTGTTTAGCGGAAGTGCCAGCTTGTCTGGTGGTTTTGACTTGAAAGGGTTTTTTTGCTACCTGAGTTTGCCTGAGTGCTTAAACCCTAGCTCTTTATTACAAGTTTGATTTATGTGATTACCTGAATGGTGAGGGAGGTGACTCAGAAGTCTTTATTTTATAGTTTGAAAACAAACTTGCCTATTGCCTTGTAAAAACAGAGATACAGGTGGGGTGTGATGATAGGGGTTTGAATACTGTGTCAATATTTCTGAGATTGCCAAACCAATGGCATGAATACTTTTCCAAATATATACTCAGTGGAGACTGGTTTATTTTGCTTAAAGTGAGAATGTTTTACAGATCTGGCTTTCATGTAAATAAAATTCCTTGATGTTTCTTATTAATAGAGGAATCCACTCTGACATCAGTGGCTTATACCGAATGTATAACAGTGCTGTACTGAAACTTTCTTCCAGTGCAGGCAGTAAAAATCACCAGTTAAGTGATTTGAGGCCCTCACTTGCTGCATGTGTTAATGTTGATGCAAAAGTAGTTGGGACTTCTGGTTTCTTGATCCAGGAAGCACAAAAGTGCTGAAATAATTTTAAGGACATCAGTAATTGTCTCCAGATTTTTGAAGTACATTGCAGTTGCTGTTGTAACTGTTGCTC